GAATGTGGCAGCTGTGAGTGCGTGTGAACAAAAACTGGTGAGTGCGTATTATTTAAAAAGTGTGAGTGCTACAACATTTTCTTTTTGCTTGCATAGAACAGGGTCACGTGTGCGAATATATACAGCTTCCAACACCTGCAACTGCTTAAAGAAACGCGCGCGACAAATAACACTAAACCAGGAATCGTCAAACAACTTACGACAATCCGGACTGGACACCAAATGCTTGTAGATGGCAGACTTGCTCTTGTCGATGTCGAACTCCTCCTCGTCCGTATCACTCTCATCCTCCACTTCCCGTTCCTGCTCACCCTTACTTTCCTCCTGACCATCCTGTTCATCCCCATCATCATCCTCCATCTCCATCTCCTCATGCCATCGCTTCTTTCTCCTTGACGTGTTCACTGCTGCGCCCGTACTTTCACCTGCCACTACTGGTTCCGCCTTCTCCATTTTTCTCAGTCGTGTCTCCGCTAGTCTCTGGCTTCTCCTCAGATTCGTTTTTCCTCCATTTTCATTTCGTTCTCCTGGTGATCTTTCCGTTACCGCCATCGGGTTTGTTAATGAACGGTCGTCCGGTGGTCTCCCATGCCGTGTTGTTGTCGTCAAGAGTGACACCAGATTCGTGTGTTGCGCTACTGTTGAGTCCGGTGTTGTATCCGTTTCTGGTTGTGTTGTAATACTGACAGGCGTAGTAGTAGGCAACGGGTGTTTTCTCGGCCTCCCACGCTTTGGCCTGCCTGCCCTGGCCGCTTTTGACAACAAGGACAATGGGACGTGTTGTTTGATACGTTCGGACAAGTGTTGAAGCGTCCTGCCAACATACCGACTACCGCACTGTCGGCATTCAAAATGATAAATGAGGTGACTCAAATGATGGGTCGGCAGGACGTCCTTCAACACCGTGAACGAACGTATCGTGGTGAAGACAGTTACTACATTCACTGCATAGTACGTCTTCTGGACAATAGACTTGACAATACGACTGACCTTTGTCGACTCCTTTGTCGACTGACCTTTGTCGCACTCACCAGTTTTTGTTCACACGCACTCACAGCTGCCACATTCATCTACTGCTACCATTCTCAGATACACTGCAAAGGTTCACACTACACGCGTTATGCATAACCGCTAGCTGTGCTGCATTCTCACGCTTCTTTTCATGTTACTCTAGCTATATAACTGGTTGTTTTAGTGATTCTTACTATGTGACGATGTTCCACTGATGATGGTCACACGAAAACGTTCTGGAATTGTTTCATTTTAATTGTTTATACATGATTATGAGTGCACAATTGATATTTTTCATTGCTATTTTACGACTGTTGTCTCCTCGTCGGTTATTTAAATACTTTAAACGAGTGATTTGTATTTGTATTTGTATTTATATCATTATCTCATGGCACATCATGATGACGGCCAATAAAACTGAGACAAGGGTGAAAGCCAACCACAGCAGTAAAACAGATAAAAGAATACAAATAAGAGGCAAAGAAGGCAAAGGAGGAGACAAACCAGCAGGATATACATGAAACCTATAATTGAGCAGAGATTTTAGCAACAAAATTATCCATCGACGTGCTGGTCTTGGCCTGCGTTGGGTTCTTTTCTGTACAAACTTGCCTTTCCCGACGACTTGGGAGCGTGACGCGTGTGTACGCTGTTTGTCACCTCCGTTGCATTTGGATGCGAATAATTATTCGTTGCATTTGGATGCGAATAATAATAATAATAATATTCGCGGGATCCGCGTCGGCATCGCTTGAATGTTCAGAAACACACGAACTAGCCTTCGCATCCGCAGGCCATCACTATGCCTTTTCACCTTAGTGGCGAATGCAGACCTCACAACTTACTTTGACACAAGCGCTTTGGTCGTTTGGATGCGAAGTGACCGTTTATACCACACTTACACCTTTGGCCACGTGCAGGACAGTTCCGGTCGCGGGCGAAGTGGCCAACTATTATTACTTTTCCACAGTTGTGACACTCTTGCCGGGGTTGGCCGTGCACAGCATTCACACTAAATCAGCCCTCACCAACGCTGTCCAAAGCGTCACTGGCCCGTTTAAGTTTGTCAACGGTCGCGCTAATCACACACACAAGCTTCACGCTGATTGGTCAATCAGCGTGAAGCTTGTGTACCAAAATTCTCAAACTTACCGTAATTCCTTGGGCTTGGTTCATACGGTGTCGTTTCCAAAGATTTTTTATGGACCAACGTCTTCTTTCGATAGATACCAACAGATCGTCCGCTTCGAATTTTTCGATTTGATTGCCGTTTGGCCGAAAATTACCTCCGAAACCGGCCTCCACTCGTTTCACTTCAAGGCTTTCCAGGTGGACGGCATCGCAATTCGGAAGCGGAGAAAGGATAGCCAGTGAAAAAAGAAAAACAGTGACGTATTGGTTGTCAAAATTGACCAAGAAATGAATTCAATAGACCCGTTTAATTCCGTGCTGCGCCCTCACGGCCCGCACGAGTGCGAAAGGGATTCTTTCTCGACAAAACAAACAACAACTACGCGGAGTGCATGCAGGTGCTTTTTGCAGTGCAGTACACTGACATCACTGCACTGGCTGTACATACCTTAGGAATATCCTGTTCTTTTCCTAGGCATGATTGTGGCTAGTGGGAGAACTCAGCCACCTGAAGCTTTCATAAAGGAAGAAGGCGTAGGTGAATGAGTTCGCCAGAAAATGGAACGCGGACAAGAAAATAGATACTGTTGCTTTCGGGCGCTCATGAGACGACGGCAAGATAGGACTGAAACGATCGACAGTCTGTCTCGATGCAAAAGAAACTCTTCCAGGAGAAGCTCGACGCGCTGTAGAGTTTGCAGTATTCTGCTGGAAGAAGACAAGAGAACTAAACTCAGACCACAGCGTGGAGCTGAAGCAAAAGCTGCGAGTTCGGGGAACACAGGAAAATGAGTGGGCGACATGATCATGCATGATGATCTGTAGCTCGAAGCTCGCGCTAAGACACGTGGGGGGCACGTGCGCCTACGGGTAGCGCGGCTAGCCACCATGTTTTCAAAATGGAGGTCGACGCTTTTGAAATCCGTGTAGACGATGGTGAGCAGGGAGTCGTAAAAAAAAAAGGTATTAAAATTTTTACGACTCCCTGATGGTGAGCATGAGGGCTGCACTTTCTGGTGCAGCTTCACCCGTACCCGTACCCGCACCGTGCGAACTGGACCCATGCCCATCATGGCTTGCACTGTGACTTGCACTTGTCGATGTTGACATAATACTAATATTAATAGACCCTTTGCACAATAACGGTCACGTGATCCGAGACGGGGCATCCTCTTCGATTTTTGTGCAAAGTATCAGTTGTTGAGCATGGCGGAACACTGTATTTTTCCATTTTGGAGATGGAGGGGAGAGTGTCGAGTGGTTTGCCATCGATGGCTGTGGAACCCGTGGACGAACTGTCAATGAAGAATGGTCTGTGAAGGAACTGAACAGTTTTCTGCTGAATGAGGGTGCGTATCTGTCTGGAAAAAGAAGGAGTCGTCGTTGCAGCGGTAAGTTTTCCGCATTCAGTGGATATTTCGGATTACTGTACTGCAGATTGAAATATTTTTCGCTTCTCTACCTTCTCTCCTCTGTCGATGTAGAGAACACACGCACACTTCTCTATGCAGAACCCTGATGCTCCTAGAACTAAGAAGGGCACCACTTCCTCGAGTGTACCTTCATCATGCCCAACATTTCATGCGTCCGACTCCCAGTGGATGAGTGATGAACCTCTGTTTCCCAGAGTGAGTGCCGCACCGTGCGTGCTCGTCTCCAACGCAGGGGCAAGTCGCCGACGACAGTGAAGAGGGAGCTGATGGAGTAGTACTAGTGAACAAGCCCGTGGATAGTGTCCATGAGTTTTACTTTGGTGGCTATGTGCATAATGTGAAAGTCAGTCATATCGTGCACGCAGCCACAGCTCGAACTCAGATGACTTTATCCGCACACTTGAGCGATGAGGCTGCGTCTCTCTCCACTTCAACATCAGCAGCTCGAGCAGCGCCAGCAAGCAGTCGATCTTCCAATAGCGAAGACAGGGATGGGTCATGCCTTTTTCTCAAGCTCCAGAGTCTCTTGGCAGGGCGTTCTTTATCTTAGCAAAAGCAAGGATGAAAGTCGTCATGGACAAAGTGTTCCGAGCACAACACTGTGAACGATATCGCAGCACTGCGGCCCTCTTCGCCAGGATTCCAGAGTGCGGAATGCCAGCATCACCAGGGAACGCATGGAAAGACAAGTGGGTTCCTTAGACTAACGTTAGGGATGACGGTTGCTGCAAACAAGAACCCAACAGTGGTCCTTGGAAAGCATTTCGAAACTTCTTCCTTCAAAACTAAAAAAACTTCAAATGAAAAAAGGCTGGGGAGTACATACATGAACATCGCGTCGGGACCGTGAAAACACAGCCTGTCACAGGAAACTTGATCACGTCCTGCAGCAAACCATGCATGCTGGTTGCATGCCAAGTGTGCAGCGGGTGCACAGCATGCCCCGTCTCGACCCCTCTCGCTTATTGTGCAAAGGGTCTATTATTAAAGGGAAACTGAACGCCAAAAATAAGTATGGCTTATCCGAAGGAGAATTGGGCACTGATTCCGATGGGCTATGTCTCGAGCCGATCAGAGAAGAGGAACTGTGTCAAATTTCATAATTAACACCTCCCATATTTGGAAATTGGCCTTGATGACGTGCGTACTGCTTAGCTGTCACCATGCTGTGCATGTTCAGCAGTGTAATTGAATGGAAGAAAACAATTACTTTGGTGTTTTGCAGCTCTGTTTCGTTCCCTGACGGTAACCAAATCTAGATGTAGGAATCTGTTGAGCAGGAGAGTGACACATGTCTTCCCGAAGGCTGTCCAGGCTGCAGTGGTGATGAAGAAGACACGATCATCACCCCGAGATCGATCGTAGCGAATTGGAAAACTCATGGTGAATTTGCTTCCACTCCAAGGCAATGTCGAGGTATGAAGGGTGCTTGTACTGCCTTCCAAAGTGAAGAGGAGATGAACATGGCTTTGCATAGCTGTTGTTCTATGCCAACTTACCTACTCTTGCTGGTACCGTAGTGGCATATTGCAAATTTCGTGGACGAACAACTCTAGTCACTAGTGGCTAGTGAGCAACACTAACAGGTGAGATTTTTCAATTCGACAAAAATTGTTTTTGTTTGAGAACTGACAGTGGCAGTCATTAGACTCAGTAGGTGTCTCTCTGCTGCTTCTTTCCCTTCATCGGTAGGGTTGTGCTTGAAGTAAAAATAAATAGAAAATGTGGAACAAAAATCTGATCATGTAATTCGAATTTGAACTTCAAAGTATGTGTACATCAAATCACAAAGATGACTGTCAAGGTGGTGCTGTGCATTGAAAAAAACTGGGAGCAGGCAGCAATGGAAAGGGTAGAAACGAAACCAGTAATGCAGAGTATTCATAAGGTAGAGGGAGATGAAAACGGGAGAGGAGTAGTGAGCACTTCAGTTTGAAGTAGTGTCAATAGACAGCATCGTGTTGCATACGTTGTGAATATTGTGTGAATCTAATAATTGTCACGAAATTGATATCCAAAATTATTATCCCCTGAGTAGTATTATGGTGTTCTCCTGTGTTTACATGCAGAGCCTTGACGTTGCTGGACGAGCGACAATATAAATTACATAAACATGTAGCTCGTGATGTGGGATGACTGCCGTATCGCATTGCCAACGCAAACCCATCCTGTGTCAGTGCAGCCATCCAGCAACTTGAACTCCCCGGACCAGATGCCGCTGCAGCTGAACACCATGCCGATGGAAAGCCAGGAGTTGATAGCGAAGCATTCTGGTCTGCACAGTACAAGGCAAAGAACAATTATGAATTATAATGCATTGTAATCTTTCCCACACTTCTTTGTAAAAACAAACAAACAGTGCCATTATCACAACACTTGATCAAGCATCTTGATGGAGGTATTTTCCATTGTGCTGGCTCAGCATCTGCACCAGGAAGACCATGTACACTTACACGTATCTTGTGTGTGTGTGTGTTCGTGCGTGTGTGTTTGTGTATCTGTATGTGCACACGTGTGTGTGTGGGGGGGGGGGGGGACGCACATGTGTATGGGTAGGAATGTGTGTGTGTGTGGGGGGGGGGGGGGGTACACGCACATGTGTATGGATGTGCGCGCTGCATGCGTGTGTCTGTGGGATGGGGTGGGGCTGCACGCATATGTGTACATGTGTGTGCGCAATACAGCATGTGTGTATGTGTTCGTTGAACACAGGGTGTACTCCTGATTACATAAACTTCGTGATCATTGTGATTTCATGTGCTTTGAAGTTGAAATTCGCAATACATGTACTGATGCTTGATTAGATTTATGTTCCACATGTTCTATTTATTTTATTTTACTTCAAGCACTTGTACTATTCAAGCACAACCCTACCAATGAAGGGAAAGAAGCAGCAAAGACACCTACTGAGTCTAATTGTCCCTGAACATCTCACCAAGTATAATTGGTTTACTTTCGCACGGGACACTCGCAATGGCATAGTACTTCCCAGAGCTTTGTCAACTATGTTTACCAAATCTCCTATCTTCTCTGCATACTCGTATTGGCTCAAGCTGCCCATGGAAATGAAGACAATATCCAATATTAGACAGTTCATAGACCATGTTAAATGTCATGCCACGTTGTAGGCTCGCTCGCCTCTTTTGCTAGCTTATCTCGCCGCTCTCCACCATGGTCAACATAGTGATACATTTCACCCCGCTGATGCATTATTTTCTTCCGATTATCATCTTCTTTCCTTCATTCTTTTTTTTTTCTTCTTCTTCTCTTGCCATGGCTGGCTAACGCCCCCTCCTTTGCATTGGCTTCTGCCATTGGACGGTGAAATAATAATAAAAATAATAATAAAAAATAATGACTGCCACTGCCAGTTCTCAAACAAAAACAATTTTTGTCGAATTGAAAAATCTCACCTGTTAGTGTTGCTCACTAGCCACTAGTGACTAGAGTTGTTCGTCCACGAAATTTGCAATATGCCACTACGGTACCAGCAAGAGTAGGTAAGTTGGCATAGAACAACAGCTATGCAAAGCCATGTTCATCTCCTCTTCACTTTGGAAGGCAGTACAAGCACCCTTCATACCTCGACATTGCCTTGGAGTGGAAGCAAATTCACCATGAGTTTTCCAATTCGCTACGATCGATCTCGGGGTGATGATCGTGTCTTCTTCATCACCACTGCAGCCTGGACAGCCTTCGGGAAGACATGTGTCACTCTCCTGCTCAACAGATTCCTACATCTAGATTTGGTTACCGTCAGGGAACGAAACAGAGCTGCAAAACACCAAAGTAATTGTTTTCTTCCATTCAATTACACTGCTGAACATGCACAGCACGGTGACAGCTAAGCAGTACGCACGTCATCAAGGCCAATTTCCAAATATGGGAGGTGTTAATTATGAAATTTGACACAGTTCCTCTTCTCTGATCGGCTCGAGACATAGCTCATCGGAATCAGTGCCCAATTCTCCTTCGGATAAGCCATACTTATTTTTGGCGTTCAGTTTCCCTTTAAAAAACACGTGCGTGCTGCTCCGTTGTTTCATACTCGCGACCTTTTTTCAAGGCCACCGCCAGAGTGAGGTCGTCGACTTCCAACAATTTCTTTCTGAGGCGATTGTCCGATATCCCTATGAGCAGCTGGTCGCATACGTGATCCTCCATGTCGGTGCCATAGTCACAGTATTTGCCTTGCCCAAGCAAACGGGTCGAAAACTGAGATACTGTTTCACCAGTCCGTTGTGACATCTGACGAAGCTTATAACGTTCGAACCTCTTGTTGGCCACGAACTCAAAAGCCTTGTCCAAAGCACTCACAGCTCGCTCGAATAAATTGTCGGTGTCCTCATCTTCTGCTGTTGTTGTTGTAGAAGTTTATTTAACGTCGCACCACAAACAGGCGATTTCGCCTCCTTTGATACATTTTATTTATTTTTTTACTGAATACCACAGTACCACCAGATGCTGCACAGCGGGGGCGGTGGCATATTGGATGGAAGTGGGGGCGGGGCAAAAGTAACTCCTCCGACCAAAGGTCTCGGAATCATTGTTACTCCTGTGCGCCGATACATAGGAGAAAAGAAACATGTGCATCCAAGAGGGGAGCACTGGCTTTGCAAACGATAATGGGGAGAATTTGAGATTGGGATAGGACAAAACAATAGTAAAAGCAGTGCACCGTAGGAAGATGGAGTGAACTGATAATCGGGTTTTAAGGCTGAGCTAAGGGGATCAAAGAGGGGTAGAAGGGAGCTGGAGTGCGGTCAGTATAATTAGGCTGGTGTGTTGGCAGAGATCATAGCCTGTCTGTGGCCCACTCCCACTTGCTGCGCCGCAAGTGGTCGTTGACGTTTTTCTTGAACGTGTGCATGCCTCTGCGAGAAGGGGGAGACTGCAGAAGGGTAGGTGGGAGCTGATTCCACGTTTCGATGAGGGAGTGGGGAAATGAGCGGAGCGTGTTGTTTCGTGCCTGAGGGGGAAGGATACTGGTGAGTTGCGATGGATGATGTGTTGCAGATCTGGTTGTCGCTCGAGTAGGCATGCGGTGTTGCGGTGCGGCTGCTGATGGTGGCAGAATGGCTTTCACCATTTCCGGACCCTCCACAAAGTGCAGCTTGTACAGAAAGCAGAGCCCTGCTACGGTACGGCGAATGTCGAGGCTCGGGAGGTATGCTCCATCTCCAATTATGTGCAGGGCACGGCGCTGGATGGCAGTGAGGCGGGCCAAGGTGGTGGGGGCTGCGCTCATCCACACCAGCATGCCATACTCTAGCACAGGGCGGACAAAGCCACGGTACATGATTGCCCGGTGCTTTGGGTCTAGCACAGCCGATGCCTTACGGAGGAAGCCGAGCCGCTGGGCTCCGCGTACTGCAAGCTGTCGGATATGGCAGCGGAATGCCAGCTGCCTGTCGAAGGTGACGCCAAGAAGCTTGAGCTCCTCCACTTCTGGCACGACTGCTCCTTGGAAGCGTATTGCGTTCGGGGGGGTTGGCGAGCGGTGGTGGCTGATGGTCAATGCCTGCGACTTTGTGGGCTCGAACTTGATCCTCCACCTGCTTCCCCATGCTGCCAGTGAGTCTACTGCCTGCTGGAGGATTGCTGTCTCTTCTGGCAGTCTGAGTCGGGTGGTGATGCACTTGTAGAGAGTTGTGTCGTCGGCGTATACAGCCAGCTTTGCCCCATCAGGCAGGTGGTCTTCTGCGTCGTTGACGTACAGAAGGAAGAGGGTGGGGCCGAGGATGCTGCCCTGTGGCACGCCAGATTGGATTCGGTGGGTCGGTGAAGACTGGCCACCTATGACGACCCGGATGTGGCATGTGGACGACAGAAGGAATGAGAGGGGGGGACAGAAGTATGGAGAGAGGAAGGGTAGAAATAAATAAGTAATCAACCTCAGGGCTACACCAAAGCAAAAACGGAATGGGAACATACTATATACAAAATAGCTTCATACATATATTGCAAAACACGTTTACTACTCTTCAGTCCGCTATACCACAGAAACACACTAGCCGAAAAGCATTTAAACGGAGCCATGATGCGCTTTTAGCAGGGCACAGAACTGAAGGTGGCTGGGCTCGGAACGGAGATCAGGCGGGAGCTGGTTCCACAGGACTGCGCCGATGAACTGCATGGTCGCTCGACCCGCAGGACCGAGCCAAAATGGTACTGGAACGAGGTGATGTGCCGCTCCCCGAGTGTGGTCAACAGTAACTCTCACGAAGAAGCTGGTGAAGAGGGAGCTAGCTCGGGAGAACAGACAACGACGGACAAAGATAAGGAGCTTAATGTTAAACATGTCCTCCAGGGTGGTGATGCGGAGCTGTTCAAAGATCGGGCTCGTGCGCGACCACGGTGGCAGACCGAAGAAGCCGCGGATAGCGCACTTCGTTAGATGTGTGAGGGGCTCCATGTTGCCAATTTGAAGTGACGGATAAAAGGCGTTGGAAGCGTGCGACAACTTACCCTGGATCATCGTTAGCGTTTCGAATTTCTCCTGTACTGGCATACCAGCCAAGTACAGCAACAGACTCCTCTGTCTCTTCGCGGATGTTATGTTCTGCCCATCCATATAGTACTGGAATGATCGTTTGTTTCCACCTGCGCCATCTTGCAGAAACTTCATGGGCAGGACCCTCGAGATCGAACGGCTCCAAAGCCGGGCCTACTCCTGTGAGCGCCATTGCCACTGAGGCCTACTCAGGTCATCTATATGACTATAACTACTTGTATTAAATCTAGTTCATCTTCGTCGCCAATGTAATGTTCTGGGACATTATTATTATTACAGTACTGGTCAAACCAAAGCACTAACAAAGACCAAACTAAAGACCAAGAACCAGGAACATAAAGCACAGAGAAAGGGAACAAAACAGATACACATATAAATATCGTACAAGATACTATAATAGTACAATACTATAATTATAGTATTAACCAGGAGGCCTGCAACATCACACCATGGGTCCTTCTTGCAACAAAAACTCACCGGCGTTGACATCGAGGATTGCTTTCCAGCAAGAAATTCGTGAGTAGAGACATTTTAAAATCACTTTTTCTTCTAACGGATGTTCGTTTGTACTAAGCTCTGTATGCCGTGTATTGATAGGCACTGTGACCCGTTGTCAAGGTTCTTCTGTAGTCTAGAATAAGATGAACATATTCATGAGAGGTGTTAAGGGAAAAGGACACAGAGGTGTAGGGGATGGGGAGCAGGAATGGGGAGAGTGCGGGGTAGGGGGGGGGGGGGCGTAGAGGAGAGGGGACGGTGAAGAGTAGGGAGTCAAAAACCTCATAACGGTACATGTACTTCGAAGTAGGTCGACACACAACTCGCTGCTCGCAAACAACTAGCATTGTCATAATCACACGACGCTGCCTCTTACAAACTCGCTTGTTCATTAATTCACTCGCAAGGAGAGGCGAGTAGGAGGCTGCTCATGCCGCAGAGTCATATGCCTGTGGCCCACACACCTGTTTAGCCCTTGGCCGACAGTTATTATTATTATTATTATTATTATTATTATTATTATTATTATTATTATTATTATTATTATTATTCTCGTATCCGTCCCGAATGGGACTCACGACGGCAGAATTAACTGTGAGCATGTGTGTGTGAGAGTGGGAGAACGAAATGAAAAAGAAAAGAAGAGTCTTGTAATAAAGGTCAAATTTAAGAAGAGCAGTACTAGACTAAATGGCTGAGCAGATTTTACTCCATTGGCGGACAGTGCCGGCAGGAAAATGTGCAGAATTTGGTACATTTTCTGGTCTGTTTCATGCATGTTTGGTATGTGGATAAAGAAATGGAGCAGAATTCAAGGAAGTGCCTTCCATAAGATTGGCATGGTTCTGCCAATTTCACTGCATTTCGAGCAAAATTTGCCAATTTCTCGAGCATTATGCGCCTCGGGCTACACCTGTTGCGCAACCACAATGTATGTATGTATGTATGTATGTATGTATGTATGTATGTATGTATGTATGTATGTATGTATGTATGTATGTATGTATAACCCATAACAATTCTGGTCGTAGGGGCGTCATGTGCATGTGTGTCATAAGGCAGCAGCATATAAAAAATAAATAAATAAACTACCCTGATAAACAAGCTGCCTATACCTATCACAATCAGCAGCAACGAGAGAGAGAGAATTGCAAGATTCATTGGTCCAGTCTTTGATGTTCGTGAACCAATTGTGACCGGGGCGAACACGGGGTCGTGATTCAGGCACCATTCCATACAAGCAATAGTGGGAGTATACATGTAGCTATCCTGATGCCTTGCTACATGTCCAAACCACTTCAACTTGATGTGTTTAGCAGTTGAATCAAGGCGAGTGAACGAGCCAATAGCATTCTTGACTTCCTGCAGTACTGACTTATTTGTGCGATGATGATGGTATTTGATGTCAAGCAGCTTACGGAGATACCTGAGCTCAAAAGCTCTAATTCGATTAAGGCCGATTCCACACTACACCAAATCCTGCCTAAAAAGCCATTTTTCAGGCACTTTTCAGGCAAGTTGCCATGGCGATCACTTTGAGGAACGCGCGAAAGTGAAAAGTGCTTGTTGTCTACAAAGCAACACCAGCACCCTCTTTCAAGGCAACTTTTTACCTTTTCAGGACACTTTTCTGCCTTTTCTTCAGCCTTTCGATTTTTTTCCGAATGTGTTCCCTGTCGTATCTTTCAGTTGTGGTGAGTTGTGGGCTGTCAACAATGCCTAGGGTCATGTTTAGCCAGGAGCTTGAGGGCAAGCTGATCGAGCTTTGGAGCGCACGTTTGAGGCGACCTCCGGGCGGTACAGTTCGCAGGAGCTACGCCGGAGGAGATCGCCATCAAGCTGAATTTGTTTGCTGAACAGCTCCGGGAGGAGGCAATCTATACTGCGTCGATCGTCCATTCCAAAATTGACAACATGAAAACGAAGGCGAAAGGACTGTACGAGACATACACAACGAAAACTGCCACCGGAATGCCTGTTGGCGAGGTTGACAAATATTCGACCTATGATCTGGAATCCGCCTACACAGCGCGCGCTAGCGTGGTCAAATTTCAAGATTGGGCACGCGAAAATGGGTGATATTCGAGGATTTGGACCAACAAAGAGCCTCTCCACTACCGCCGGTGCTACATCAAGCACAGGAAAGCCTCACAGTCTACCTTCAAAGCAAAGTCCCGTGATCGACACTTGTAGGTGTGAATGCAGCTTCACTTTATAAGCCACTTTATGCCTTCAAGGCAAAGCCACTTTCGGCGTAGTGTGGAATCGGCCTTAGGCTAGCTTGTGAGATGGTCCAGGTCTGACTGCCATAGAGCTGCACAGTAGCACATGTATTGTAGTTCGGCAAGTCCAGAGCGTCTTCAGCTCTTGAAGCTTTGATGTTGCCATCGCCAGTCGTTTCTTGACTTCGACGTCAGATGTTCCATCTGCAGGGATGGTCGCTCCGAGGTGAATTGTTGCACCCGCTCCAATGCAACGCCGTCCACACGCACTGCAGGATCACCAGCCAGGGGTCACCATGATTTTTGTTTTATTTCCATTTATTTCCATTGAGACACACAACCAGCCTAGGAAGTATGTTTCGCATGTGCCAGGCCACCACCATGCCTGTCATACCTCGGTGGCAGATGCAGCTCCTAACCGCGAGGGTGAGATGGTTAGTCTCACATCCGTTTTGAACCAATGACCGGCAAGGGGGCGAATCTCGCTGCCTTCGTACTAAGTCATTTAAGAAATAGAACCTGGTAAAAGACCCCGGCTCTACCTCCATCTTTTACTCTGCTTTTTCCTATGTTGACATCGTAGATCCACGTACTCAGTCAAACAAAACTCGCAACCATGCGATAACATTAGAATAACATGTATCATTATTATTATTGTTGGTAGTGATGAGCTTTGTGTTGAGCTGCCCCTACTGTACCGACCAGTGTTATGTGGTTTGATTTCGTCCCGCGTGCTTGTCTACAATTAGCGACAACAAGCGCTGTCTGACATAGCTGGTGACATGCATCTTGAGTCTTGGGCATGGCACTTCATTTGATCCACCCATGACCATGATGATTATCATGATTATAATGTCCATGGAGATCTACCACCGGAACTGGTTACTCCTGCATCCCCTGGCTTGGTCGACGTCACCGCAAGACAGTATAAGGGCGCGTTCGAATTGTCTCTCTTTGACTTTTCAAGGAGTTTCGTTTTTCTGAAGAGGTGGCCTTATTGGCCTCTTCAGAAAAACGAAGCTCCTCGAAACTCATCCGATGGGAAGGTGGATGAGGGCGCGTTCGAATTGTCACTCTTTGACTTTTCGAGGAGCTTCGTTTTTCCTTATTGGCCTCTTCAGAAAAACGAAGCTCCTCGAAACTCATCCGATGGGAAGGTGGATTAGTTTCGAAGAGTTTGGAATAGCTACGTCACGTAGTGCGTGGAGACTGTTGATCTGATTGGACGTCATCATAGCCATGACAATTCCACTGAAAACCTCTAAAATGATAGAAACCATTCCAATGGGACACTTCAACTAATCTCTTTGTTCAATTTGTTTGAACAGTTGATGAAGACAATTCGAATGCGCCCTAAGTTCCGAAGAGTTTGGAATAGCTACGTCACGTAGTACGTGGAGATGGTCGATCTGATCGGACGTCATCATCGCCATGACAACTCCACTGAAAAACTCTAAAAATGATAGAAAACGTTCTAATGGGACACTTCAACTAATCTCTTTAATATAAACATTTGTTTGAACAGTTGATGAAGACAATTCGAACGCGCCCTAAATCCTGTACAGTTATGCATTATCGTTTTTACAGTCTGTAGTGTAGAGTAGAGTAGGTTCTCGCGTTTTATGCTTCTATTCGTGGAAGCGCTAGCTTCTTGGAAATACGATGCCAGGCTTTGTGCAAAAGCAGGCCACTACATTTCTACATGCTTCCATGATACCTCACTGTCCTCAGTGCAGGCTCTTTGTGTAACGAAATAATGCCTGGTTCACACTAGGCCGATTTCCCGGCCGACATGGATTCGTACCAAAAATCCTCAAGATCGGGGCGAAAATTGCCTGGTGTGATCGGTGTTGTCGTACAGGTTTCCGACAGATCTGCGGCGATTTTCTTGTCGAAATGTCGTAGATCTACTAGTTTTCGGCCAAGAATCGACTGGTCGATAATACTTAAGGCAAAAATTAAAATTTCACCAGTTGTAGTCTTCGGGGTGCTGAGTCGAATGGTCTTGGTCCGAGAAAGCTGAGACGCTCCCTTCCTACTTGAATCCCAGCGTTCCTCCTTTATTCCCAATCGAACATGGTTGAACAAGTGGTCACGTGCTCCTGGGTGCCCAAATCACTTGGTCACCACGCCAGCAGGCGACAACTTTCACACCAAGGTTCAACTCGAGTGACAGGACTGCACCCAAAAAAGGTCAAACAGGCTAGTAAGTAAGTTGTACCCTGCAGGCACGGTGACCAGGTGACTGGTGTACGCAGGAGCACGTGACCACTTGTTCAACCATGTTCGATTGGGAATAAAGGAGGAACGCTGCATCGCAGCCTTTTCGGACCAAAACCAATCGACTCAGCGTCCAAAAGACTACAACATATGGGCCAATCGCGGTCATCCATGCTTTTATAAGAACGAAATGGCGCTTTTAGTGACATTTTGCATACAAATCCCCATCTAGTAGGGCGCAGTCACCCAGTTTCGGTGGAAGTGCGCGAGTTCGATTGGGATTCAAGTAGGAAGGGAACGTCTCAGCTTTCTCGGACCAAGACCATTCGACTCAGCACCCCGAAGACTACAACTGGTGAAACTTTAATTTTTGCCTTAACTTCCCCTATATTGACCGCTTATATATGACTCCTTTTTAGCGATTGAACACAGGCTTTTGGCTAGTCGTGATATGTCAAATATTGACTTCGTACTTGGTCAGTATAGGAAATAAAAGACCTCGTAAAAGACCTCGGCTTCGTCTCGGTCTTTTATTCGGCTTTTATTTCTAATATTGATCTCATACTCAGTCAAAACTTGATACTGATTAGTATGAAGGCAGCGAGGTTCGCCCCCTTGCCGGTCACTGGGGCCTAGCAAAACTTCCTAAGCTGGTGGTGTTTTTCAATACAATTGAATTGCATAGCCGGTGGTAACGCGGAAGTGCGAACTTCACAATACTAGATTGTTGTCAAGACAACCCAAACCATGTCTTTTGATCCCTAAAAAGGAGTCAAATACAAACAGCCCATATAGCCCTAGCATGAGGAGTGAAATATGAAGAAATATTTACAGGGCACATTTCTTGATAGCAGCAGCAGCAATAGGAAGATGCCAGCTTTGGGAACAAGTATCGCTGGAGCACACACGCACTGGACAAAACACTGGACAAAACACTGGAGAAACACTGGACAAAACACTGGACAAACACTGGACAAAACACATCACAAAAATCAAGTCTGAAAGTGCAGAGATTTAAAGGTCCAAACTTCTCGCATTATACTTTGAAGGTGCCTTAGTGAGAGAATGTGACAAACTCGATGGTGCTGAGTCTTGACTAAGTCTGTAGGCCATTGAACAGCATTCTCCCAGTATTGCTGCACGCGATTTTGAGAACCGCTGAGAATGTAATGTAGTCGACAACTCAATGAGCCCATCTTGTTCATAGTATCGACATTCACATCATGCCCGCGCATCTGCAGCCAGGAGCCCAGATGTTCTTACTCAGTCTGAGGCACAGCAGCCTGTCGGTGAGACCGACTCACGATGCCAGCAGACACACTGTCATGGCACGTACCTCGAAGTCATTGCATTCATATCGTTGTATTCCCGCACCCTGTCCACCGCCGGAACGGTCATCGTCGTGGGAGTCCTCAAAATGATCATTTCCGCCAGAGGCAGAGCTAATTCCCTGATCAACCCCACCAGAGGCTGAGCTAATACCCTGATCAGACCCAACAGAGGCAGAGCTAAATCCTAGATCAGACCCAACAGAGGCAGAGCTAATTCCCCGGTTCTTGGCCTTCTCTTCCTTACACCGCTTCACGCTCAGCCCTAGATCATTTGCTTTTTCCTGGAGAGAGAGAGACAGACAGAAAGACAGACAGACAGACAGTGAGAGAAAGAGAGAGAACAATGAGATGAGTCACAGACAGAGAGTGAGACAAAAGAGAGAGAGAACAATGAGATGAGACGGTCACAAACAGACAGAAGGAAAACAAGAGAAAGCGGAGCTTGCACACCCGGAATGCAACAAGCCGAGAAGTACGGCAACAAAGCTAGCAATCTGATCCACACCCATACCCATACCCATGACACATTTTGTCCACACCGCAAAAAAACCCTTCCAACTGGGGAAGGCTCAGGTGCGGAATGTTCCAATGAGGGGAAGGGATGCGCCACAAAGATGTGCACGAGCTATGTCCCTCGGCAACAAAGAATGACGAACATTACGGGATGATGATGATGATGATAATGATGAGACTTGTAAGACCATTGGACAAGCCGGTCTAACTACAACTCGAAAACGCAAGGCAACAGACCAGCCAACTTGGGAGGCTAAAAGGTATGTAAAAACACATAAAGAGGGTAATGATCTGTTTGTATATTTTCTCCTTAGGCCATGGTAAAAAATAAAGTTGATTCTCAGGTCATGAGCCTGTGAAAATCGGTGCGAGCGAGCGATTTTTTATTTTATTTCCCACAATTTTTTATATTTCCAAAGATAGGGTCACACATATGTACATGGTCACATGTTCATATATTCAGGCCAGGGAGTAGAAAATAGGGAGGGCCCAAATATGCTCAAATATTTCGCATATTATGCTTTTCGCATATTGGCCACTTGCTTCAAAATATGCTTCGAAATCACACAAAAAGCAGAAAAATATGCTCGAAATATGTTCGAAATATGCTCGAAATATGAACTGATATCAGTGATAATAATGCGAATTCTTTGCTCCTTGTAGCAAAATATGCTAGATTTGCTACTTTATGCGACCGTGAGTCGTGGACGCTCTCTTCTCGGGTCAAAATTTCGCCTCGTGTATGGATGAGCATTTTTCCTTCCGGGCTACGTTTGGGAGTGTTCCCTGACCGAGCGTGCCGTGGTAAGTTTCCTTATCCGTTTCCGCAAAGTCTGCCCTATGATTACCGTATTATCTCTGATATAAGCACGGTCCTTTATTTTTTCAATGTACCTCCGCCCCGTGCTATTAATGGAGACGTTCCTTTATTGGAGACTGTTCCATCATTATTTCAACCTCATTTCAGAGGCATGTTGCCATGCCAAATTTATGTATGACACACACATTTCAGGTTTTTTTTCGCCGGTACAGATAATGAATTTACACAGTGTGCTTATAATGGAGACTGAGCACTTTATTTTTTGAATGCCGCCCCAAGGTGTTCTATTATTGGAGACGTGCTATTATTGGACTGTGCTTATATTAGAGATTATCGCCCCTCCCCCCGAGACACACACATCATAGCACCATAGAATGGGGTTGCATTTTTGTTGTTTTTGCCATGTGATTAAGCAATTACGATTGAAACGAGGGTTGCCTGCTGCTCCTCGTTGCTAGTCTTGAAGAAAAAAAAAGAAAAAATCACGCCCATCTGCTGCTGCTGCTAGCTGCCAATATTGATGCTGTCCCTGCGTTCGCCACCTCCAACTGCTGAGGTGCCTCGTGCTGTGGCACTACCACACCTTGGTCCGCCCTGCGTTGATCCGGCCTCGTACTCTCGTACTCTGCTCATGCTGCCGTACTCTCGCGTTGTGGCCTCGTGGGTACGTCTTACGCTATTTGCGCTTGCCACGTGCTTATGTGGCCCGCCTTACCTGGTGGGCTCTCGCGCCTTATTTCCCATATAAGCATGGTGGTGTCTGTCATTGTGGGCCGGGCGGCATCCGGGGACTTCGCCTCTTCCATACGTGGTATGTTTGCTCCGCCACACCGCCTGTTCTATCTTGCGTACTCGATTAGTACTGTACCTTGGCTGAGGCTTAGTACGCGCGCTGGAGTCCTTTCGTGCCATAAAAGGAACTGCTTCCTAATATAGAGATTAGGCGCCATGAGCCCTGCTTGTAGTAAACATTGCATTAGTAGCGCTGATACCTTTATGCAAATATGGGGTAGTCTCGCCCGCGCATATGGGCGTACTCGTACTGCGGCCTGGGCTTTCCCCAGTACGGCTGCCCGCCATTGCATGCCAGACACCCCCATTGTTGCGCGCCTAGCCACGCGCGTGGCTTTTGCCTGCTGCTCGGTTGTCAGCGATAACTACGGTTTGCCGTACGCTGCAAACCTACATTAATACGGCATGGGAATCCTTTGCTCCTTGTAGCAAAATATGCTACATTAGGTACAATAATGCTAGATTTGCTACTTTATGCGACCTTGGGTCAAAAGGACCAAAATATGCGAAAATATGCGCAAGCATATTCGGGCCCTCCCTAGTAGAAAAATACCGGTATTTTACTACTCCCTGATTCATCCCTTTCGCATTGACCGTTTTCATGCGCGCATATGCATGCATAGACTATCCCTGCGGCAATTTGCGGAAAACTCTCGAAAACTTGCGCAAGAAATTGCGGCAGAAAACAACAAAAAATGCGACGAAAAGTGCAGAATGATGCAGAACTTGCCAGGAATTCGCGGAATTATTTACAGAAAAGTGCGGATTTGGGCCAAATCACGAAATTTGTTGCATCATATATCTACTTGGGAGTAGTACGAGTCGTACTTTGCAAATAACCTACAGGATCATGGAAAGCACTGCGTGAAAAGTGCATAAAAAAGTGAGATATAGTGCAGAAAATAACAAAAAAACGTGGGAAATAACAAAAAACGTGGGAAATCGCGGATTTTCCTGAAAATCGCGGGTTTGGGCGAAAATCGCGAAATTTGTTGCATCCGTGGAATCGCGATTTCCTGGAGGGACAGCATAGAAATATAAAAAATCGTCGGTGCGCCCCCATAAATCGGTGCGCGCGTACTTGAGAATCAAAGATAATTTTTACCATGGCCTTACCTTGGTGTAAAAAAAAGAAAAAAGTAAATTATCGTGTCCGTTCCCGAAGGGAACTCACGACGGCCGCTAACACCCGATAAACCCGATTACCTTGGTGTGCTATTAGCCATAACTAATAACTTATAGGTCCTTTTCTCTTTACATATTACTTAACCCTTACATATCACAATCAGTCACCAATACCATAACAAGGAGCCTCCGTGTTCTAAAAAACGTTAACGCTTACCGTACATAATAGTATTGCTTCCTACCTGTAAACAATTCTGGCAATCATGAAGATACGCAATCAATATCTATATAGTTTGGCCTCCACCAGCCCCATCTCTATCCTGTCGCAGAGACAGTCATGCGTTCTGGTCCATCGTATTAAACTGAACATTGTCTCTGAACATCTCACCAAATATAATTGGTTTACTTTCGCACGGGACACTCGCAATGGCATAGTACTTTCCAGAGCTTTGTCAACTATGTTCACCAAATCTCCTATCTTCTCTGCATACTCGTATTGGCTCAAGCTGCCCATGGAAATGAAGACAATATCCAATATTAGACAGTTCATAGACCATGTTAAATGTCATGCCACGTTGTAGGCTCGCTCGCCTCATTTGCTAGCTTATCTCGCCGCTCTCCACCATGGTCAACATAGTGATACATTTCACCCCGCTGATGCATTATTTTCTTCCGATTATCATCTTCTTTCCTTCATTTTTTCTTTCTTCTCTTGCCATGGCTGGTTAACGCCCCCTCCTTTGCATTGGCTTCTGCCATTGGATGCAGAAATAATAATAATATCCACCATATATTTGGTTTTATTTCACCAATTTGAAGATCTTGGACACATTGGGAAGCTCTTGGTGGGAGGACTACAAGAAGTTCCAACTACAGTCCATATCAAAAATATATAGACGCACGGTATTTTTGAAATATTTCATATTTGACTGGAGCTTCTTGAGGACTTCTTTTTCAGAATATGCCTCAGGTCCTTCCCCCAATTACTCTCATATAATATGTTGTAGTGATCAGATAACAAACGCCCAATTTCGGATTGTTTATGCACAAAATGATCACAGGTTTTATGTGGTATCGATGCTGGTCTAACGGGTTTTTGAAATCACGCATCTATATTTTTGAAATGCACTGTAGTATAGTAGTCAAGAGCACTACTCATTGTCCGCCACGACGCGATCCAAACGTGACTGCAGTTCCAGATACGAAATGACATCGGTCTCCTCCAGCCATTTCACTGTACCTAGCTTGAAACTAATTAAATCTTTTCGTGCCCGGCTTGGCACATGCTGCGTGCCCTGAAGTTGGGTAAATCCAATTTCCATGAACTGTCGACTCTCAGCACAAATCGCAGAAAATGCAAAAATGTTCAATCGATTGCCGTTCTCTCAAAATTCATACCAGGACCGGAGCCAGCGCTTGGAGGGTGGTGCGACCCCAGGTCGGCTACAGGACCGACTATTTCCCCATGCCCAATTTCAACTTCCTGGGAGGATACATCTCTACCTCTGGAGGGTGGTACGGCCCCAGGTCGGCTACAGGACCGACTATTTCCCCATGCCCAATTTCAAATTCCTGGAAGGATACATCTCTACCTCTATGCATTATCTGTTTGTTTCAGCTGGACATTCCTCTAGCAACAGATATGGCAGTTAGCAGAGTAGACTTCACTGGAGGTGAGAGCAGATACAGGCATGCTGGAACTTGCCTCATTCTCTACTTGTTGTTGCAGGAATGCATGTAGTTTGCCTTGAAGGAGAGGAAACAACTATTGCAGACGTTGCAGTGAGCAACGCAGCACCTTCGAGCAGCAGTATCAGGGGCGGCACTAGCAGCTGAAGCTTTCTGTTTTTCACAAACACACACACATACACACGCACACGCACACACACACACACACACACACACACACACACACACACACACACACACACATACACACACACACACACACACACACACACACACACACACAGCATGCCACTGTGTTGAGAAGACAAGCGAACGCAAAGTAGAAAGACACACTACAGGTTTTTTCCGGAATATAAGCTTGTACTCTACATAATCCACATAAAAAAGTCAGTACCGCTTACACGACAATGGTCAAATGAACCATGAGAAACAGAGTAGAAGTCTGTATTTCGTGACAAAAAAGTGGGTGCGGCTTATACTCCAGTGCAAATTCCAATGCAGTATCCAACTTTAGCCTGGTACTGCCCCCCCCCCCCGAAAAATACCCACGTTATAAGCGCAATAAAGAATATACAGTCGTTACTTTGCATATAACGACACTCGGCGCGGCGTCAGTAAAGTGTCCTTATTCGCGAAGTGTCGTTGTATGTATTACAGTTAGATGGGACTTTGCTCTGGGCATGGAAATTCTGTCGTTATTCGCGAATTGTCATTATATCCGCAGTCGCTATTAGCAAAGTTGACTGTAATTGATGCAGACGTGGCCAGACAATATCGAGTTTAACCCCAGGACGGCCACCACTTTCAGTACTCCTAGAATGGCCAAACGGTGTCATTTGACACCTCCATACATTTCCATGTTCATGATCAATATTATAGTTTTTTTTTCAGTAAAGGCTATCACTAGTGGCATTTATGATGTAGACAACACATTACGATTTGCCCAGACAATATTGTTCAGCTATTGGCAACCAAAATACAATGTACGCGTATCATCAGTTGCGAACGATGGTCTCAAATACAGGCAAAATTTCATTTGCTGCCATAAGATTATCTTCCAATCACAGAGATACTATAAAATGCAATACGTACACGTCACTTGGCATATGAGGAACTATTTTTGGGAATGTGTGTTTCGGTATAACGTTCTTCCTCGACCCGTACCGATAAATAACACACAGTAACAAGCACAATCATAGACTGACTGCGTGCATCCCTTTTTCACCAGGCAGTTGCATATGCTGCTAGGCCTGGGTGCAAGATTAGGCTTGCAATGACTGTGTTTTAGCCTCTTTCAAAGAGGTGTACCCTATTCTTCTCCTTGGCTGTCACTTGGCAACCAAGTGCCATGATCTACGAGCTTATGACCAATGCGGGAAATCCTTCCTCGACGTACTTGTTGAGAAAACCGAATTTGGTAGCGTAACATCGGTGTATCGTAAACCGACATTCACCGGACAATACATTTCCTATGACTCGTACTGTTCATCTAATTATAAAGTCAACTTAGTAAAGAATCTCGTGGATCGCGCCAAACGGATCTGTTCACCTTGTAAACTCAGTGGTGAGCTCGAACATGTTGGCAAAACTGTTGTCTACAGCCCCCACGCCGAAACATGAATTGATAGTGCCTGCTCGTTGTCCTGTCCTTTTATGCTTACCATGGAAGGGCAAGAAGTCTGACAATGTGAGTCGTGAAGTTCGTTCGATCATCAAACAAACCTACTATGCGGTTCACTTCATACCCGTCTAACGATGCATTCGTTCACGGTGTTGAATGATGTCCTACCAACCCATCATTTAAGTCATGTGATCTATAACTTTGAATGCCGGAATTGTGCTAGCCGGTATGTTGGTAGGACTGTTGAGCACCTGAGTGAACGCATCAAGCAACACACTCCTTTACACATTATCCCACGTAGCGCACAACTGGAGCGCCCCACTCGGGGAAGACCCCGTAAACAACCACTACCTCCGCCAACACAGGACCTAGCGTCCCACTCGGCCATTCCACCATTGGCCCCCGTGGCCATGACCAAGTCACTTCCTCCACCAGCGGAGGTAGATGTGGCTTTGGCGACGCCACGTGTGTTGCATACAGACATGTTTGCGTCATCATCGCTTGCTGCATCACCGGCAGAGACGACAACAATACCTACCTCAATATCAACGAGACCCAGAAGAGCAACTGCACTCCATTTTTCTTTATTTGTATCTTTCTGGAATGTTTTTCATGAGTACAACGTAGCTTCCTGAGGAGTGTTGTGCGAAAACTAGTTCGAAGTAAGATTTTTGTTCATCATTTCTTCCATGTCACGGTTTTTCTTCTTCCATATTCTTCAGTGCCTTCGTATCCACTCGTTTTTTGAATACAATAAAAGCCTTTGTGAAATGTCGGTTCAGCTCGTTCTGTTGATCGCAATTCTAAAATAACTGATAACTTCATCATAACTTGTCATAACTACTGATGCAGAAATTCTCGGAGAAGAAAGAGTTGCAATAAGAACCAGTGTGGTACGTGGAAGTGAACTACCATCTGAATTCATTGCCAGGAATCGTGGATTGCATTTTGTTTTTCAAGGCTGCATTGTAGGATGCAAATGAGGTAGACGGAGAAGGTAGAAGGTGGCAATAATAATCAATGGTTCATCGATTGTAGGCCACCTGGAGCAAGATACTTTACATGGTTAGAGTGGGAATCCCCGCATAGTCTACTTCTAGGAAAAGACGAGATATGTCCTTGATCGCTTCGATCGAATGTGGTGGATCTACCCAACAAAGACTATTCCAGAAGATGTCCCCTGCAAGCCTCTTACATAAATGAATAGATGTGACATGCATCAACAACTTCGCAATATCCAAGAACTTTCCTAGCTCATAGACACCCAGGAGAAAGTTCTTTCCCGCATTGGTCATAAGCTCGTAGATCATGGCACTTGGTTGCCAAGTGATAGCCAAGGAGAAGAAAAGGGTACACCTCTTTGAAAGAGGCTAAAACACAGTCATTGCAAGCCTAATCTTGCACCCAGGCCTTGCAGCATATGCAACTGCGTGGTGAAAAAGGGATGCACGCAGTCAGTCCATGATTATACTTGTTACATTATGAATGTACAGGCGCTCAGTTGCCATTGTTGTGACCCAAAGTTACACCATCATATGACAGAACAGATCCACCCCTGCCAATGGTCACGACACTTGAAGATGCATCAGATGAAGATGTTGTGGTAAATTTTGCTCAAATTGCATATCGTTCGCCGTCAGACTCCGATGGCTCCTCTAGGACAATTTGCAGGAAAATGAAAGGGAACGAGCAGTATCAAGGACATGAGCAGATAGGGTTTCAAGGCCTGGTTTTGTGCTGCAATGATCAGGTTTGCTGTGGTCTTCTTGAGACCAGCCTTTGTCAGACAACCTCTAGGTGTTATCGTTGGTCAGTTGGTCTGTTTGCCAGAAAAACTTTCAGTGCAAGGATTTCTGGGTCCACGTCAAGAGGTGTTCTTCTTGAAACCCAAACAGTGAGAAGTCCGGTGGGATATCCAGATGTGGCCACAGAATTGACCCCGCCACCTCCAGGAGCTCATCCTCTGACTAAAGCACATAGCGCCGCTAATTGCATTTCTCCATGGTGAAAACATCTTGATTTATTCTGCAAGCCACGTCCACCTTTCTTGCGACTGACGTGCATACGGGCTACATCAGCGCGTTGATGGAGAGCTCCTTGTTGTATAATATACAACAAGGAGCTCTCTATATTATTGTGTGTGTGAGTGAGTGTGTGTGCGTGCGTGCGTGCGTGCGCGTGTGTGTGTATGTGTGCGTGCGTTTGTGTGTGCATGTGTGTGTGTGTGTGTGTGTGTGCGTGCCAGCTAGTTCGGTTGGTGGGTACACTTATGCCAGATAATATTGGGTCTGTTGCCAACGGGCTTGGCTGCTTGAAGGTGTATTGTTGTACCTACCACCTTTGTTGGTTTCAGGATTCATATACTTTCTATTTGAAGTACATCAAGTATACATACTTGTTAACCATGGACTGCTTCTGGCTAGATTAACTCTAGTGTAATCAATGGTGCTAGTGAAGCTTATACCAGATCCACTCTGATTTAGCCACCCACACTAGTAGCAAGTACCTTCGCAAGTACCTTCGCTGGGGGCAGGGGCAAATGCAGTTGGATCCCGGGACGGATACCCTGATGCCGTCAATCCTTCTGCACCTTGTCCTCACCCACTTACTGAGGTGTGGCGATCCCATAAAAGGAATCATTTCCAGTCCACCCTAGTCTGGGGATTTCAGGGGGTGTCGGCCATTGGGCGGTTCAATAGCCAATTGAGTCATCTTTCCAAGATTCCTTTTGATTATATTTCCCCTCTCCCGGGGAGACCCACGTGACCAACCTTGGCAGTGAACAAGCACAGTGTGTGTGTGTGTACGCGTGCGCGCGCGCGCGTTGATATGTGTCTCTGTCTACTCACACTGCTCTGGTGTTCCGACAGTGCCTTCACTGAAGATCCAGAGTATGATGTGTGACCTTGCTGCACCGGTCTGTTGCCAAGATGATAGTACGAAGAGCTTGTATCAGCGTAAACTGCTGCGCCACTCGATCCACTGGCGGAGGATGCCGTTGGCGTGTTACCATACTGCGACTGGTACAGATTACTGCTAATCGCTGCCGGCGGTAAGGGAGGTTGCCACGGCTGCTGCTGTTGTGGCGGCTGCTGTTGTGGCGGCTGCTGCTGTTGTGGCGGCTGCTGCTGTTGTGACGGTTGATGTTGTTGCGGCTGCTGCTGTTGTTGCGGCTGCTGCTGCTGCTGTATCATTACCATCGAGAATGCAGTGGAGAGCACATCATCACGAATATCACGAAGAAATCACATTATACATTGCCAGCCCTCGTCACTGACATGTGCACGGCAAAAGAGCGCAGTGATTCAGAAACCCCGAAAAGGGAAATGATCTGCACTTACACAAGAGTGCTGCTACTGTAGCGCAGTATTGCAAACACGCAAACATGCTTAGCCAAAGTGTCTATTGGCAAACATCTACAAATTTTGGTCAATCTACCCAGCACATCAGTCCAAGTCACAAAGTCTTTAACACTGAAAGACAGAATCAATGCAATATCTGTTCATATGCATTTAGCACCTAATGGGTAGGGCACTGTCCTGTCAAGACTATAGTTTAGGGAATTCCCTGAACGTGTATGACCCTCGAGTCTCTTTTCGACCTTATCACTCAAATCCAAGGAATAAAAACGTCATCCACAGTAATATTACTGGTAGTAGTATGGCTAGTTATACTTAAGTCCAAACGGCTTTCACCCTGAAGGTCGGCCATGCCCGGAAATTTGGTGAATAACTGTTAGTTTGCGTATGCAACAAAGAGACCGTTCTACTTAAGTTGTTGAGTTGAGGTAACAATAATAAGAATAAGAATAACAGCTGGTATGTACCCCATGGGTGAGATCTGCCATGGGCTAACGCATCTGTCGGTAAAAGAGTTAGAGAAATATAAACGAGAAATACATGGGTTGCTATCGCTGTCGGGTGCCTTTCGCGCTGCTACGTTCCGCTGTGTTGTGTGTCAGGGGTGCTCGGCCGGCCCGTCACCGTCCAGTTCACATGCTTCGTGAGTTGGCGATGGTGGAGGGTCGGGTTCCCCTGCCGTGATTGGTGCTGCACCGAGCTTGTTTTGTGTGAAAGTATAACTATTATTATTATTATTATTATTATTGTTCAAACAGTAGTTTGGAGGCGGTGGGAAAACAGTTTCGTAATAAGTATTCGCATGCAACGACGCAAATCCACACAATTCAGTAGACACTTCTTTTCTATCAAACGTTTTCTTTCCCTTCTCTTCAGGATAGTACAGGGAATGTTGGAAATTTGGAAAAACACATAACTATAATTATAGAAAAATAGAGAAAAAGTCAACACTTCAACATAGGCGATAAAATGACTAAAGTGTGAAAAAAAACTTGAAAACAAAAGCAGCAAGTTGTAGACAAACACGTTGAACACATCAAGAAGCACTTGTCACACTTTCACGGGGTCATTTGTCGGGAAGTGCTAATTGTCGTGAGTTGTATAGTGATGATGTCTTTTCGGTTTTAACTCGTGGAAGGTCTAAGTTACATCTTGCTGTGTTAGAAGCTCTGTATATTCGTAAACTAGATCCAGAACTATGTGTACAGAAGGAGAATGTGTTATCGTTGCAGTTGTTTGGTGTCACACCTCGTGAAAGTGTGACAAGTGCTTCTTGATGTGTTCAACGTGTTTGTCTACAACTTGCTGCTTTTGTTTTCGAGTTTTTTTTCACACTTTAGTCATTTTATCGCCTATGTTGAAGTGTTGACTTTTTCTCTATTTTTCTATATAGTTATGTGTTTTTCCAAATTTCCAACATTCCCTGTACTATCCTGAAGAGAAGGGAAAGAAAACGTTTGATAGAAAAGAAGTGTCTACTGAATTGTGTGGATTTGCGTCGTTGCATGCGAATACTTATTACGAAATTATTATTGTTATTATTATTATTTGAAACTCGGGTATTGAGCCAATAATAAAAGTGGAAAGGAAAAGGACATATGGAAACGAGTTAAGAGTAACTCTCCACCACTGTAGCTAGATACTATATACAGTCAGAAAGTGCAACAACTAGGCACAAATCTGACAGTACTGAGATATTCGACGTCCTGACACCTAGCTTCAACACATTTCCGTAGCGCTAACCGACAGCCTTCCAACTTGGAAGGTTCAAGGTTATTGAAAGACCAAAGAGGGGACGGCAATTATTGCACACATGATGAGCCGTCACGAACCATATGGCGAAACGTACGTCGTGTGAAACAACTTGTTTTGTAGTCAACTAGTCCATCACAATGTCATGCATGAGGAGTACTGTAGGAGTTTAGATTTCGGCTTGTACAATTTGTTCTCGCAAAGCTTCCCCCTTCTTAACTTATCTTTGATATTTTTGACTCACCCAAGTTGGGTGGTGTGCTGCTTTGCTGCTTCGAATTGTAGTTAGACCGCTTTGTCAAATCGCCGACTGGTCTCGTCATCGTCCAGTGACAATCGACATTCTTTGTTCCGTTGGGACTGTAGCTTGTGCTCGTTTTCGTTGCGCTTGCCTTCCCCTCTTTGGTCTTTCCATAACCTTGAACCTTCCAAGTTGGAAGGCTGTCGGTTAGCGCTACGGAAATGTGTTGAAGCTAGGTGTCAGGACATCGAATGTCTCAGTACTCTGTCAGTTTTGTGCCTAGTTGTTGCACTTTCTGACTGTATATAGTATCTAGCTACAGTGGTGGAGAGTTACTCTTAACTCGTTTCCATATGTCCTTTTCCTTTCTACTATTATTATTATTACTATTATTATTTTCACTAGTTAGAGGGAAAGAGACAAACGGGAAAAGTCTGAAGAAAAAATTGACTGTCACCACCAGGACTCGAACCAGGGACCCTCGCTTGTAGCTAGCGATGCTCTAACCACTGAGCTATGGTGTAGTCGTCATCCCAGCAGAGACTGTTCAACATTTTCTTCAGACTTCGTATTATTATTATTATTATTATTATACTTCAAAGTATTACAAAATAATTGAGAGGCTTTGAATCGTTTTTATCAAAATCTAAATATTTGCCGGGTTGGAAGGTGGGAATCAAAAAATAAATAAAATAAATGGCATACAGTCAACTTGGCTTATAACGGCTGCGGATATAACGACAATTCCCGAATAACGACAGAATTTCCATGCCCAGAGCAAAGTCCCATCCAACTGTAATACATAATAATGAGACTTCGGGTGTAACGACATTTTGCAAATACGGACACTTTTTTGACGCCCGCCGAGTGTCATTATAAGCAAAGTTGACTGTACACACCCTCTCCATTCTGTTATTCCAGGGAAACCTTCTTCAATTCCACCATGAGCCTAGCCATGAGGAACAAAATACTAGGTACAGAATATTTTTTACCAAAAAGATATTCGAGTAAGTGCAGATATTTTTAGCATGATAAGCTAGTACATTGATTCACAATGCCGAAATACCTTCCGTTTCGGCAATGGAAACTTTCATTTGAGTCGAGGTACCCTAAGGTCAAGAAGAGACTCAAGGGCCATAAACGTTCAGGGAAACTCCCTAAGCTATAATCTAGACGGGTAATTGTCAAACTTAGAAGTTGCGACTTCGGCGGTAATAGTCATTAAGTTGATTGTTCCAACTAGGAGCGTGTGTTCCTAGTTGGAACAATCAACTTCATGGGTAATTGTCAGTTCAACAAACAGCCTTGATCCAGCATTGGATTGTTCAAACTGTTGCAAAAGAAGGATCCACAAGCGAAATTCGAACCCAGCACCCCTGTCCTTCCGGGAAAGTCAGGGCTCACCACGACCATACAGAATTCAAAAAGGGTCGACCACCATTTTGAAAAAAATGGCGAAGGTGATTGGTCAAATCCAAATAACCGTTATTGACGCTTTGTACGGTCGTGGTGAGACCTGACAGTGGCCTACCGATTAGGCTACCGGGGATCACACACACCCTTGGGTCCTTCTTGCTACAAAACTCACTGGTGTTGTCATTGAGCCACGACCAGTGATATCTTTAGCGGACTGTGTGAAAGCACCAGCAGAAGTGCCACCGGTCCCAAAGATGCCAAGCAGAACTTGAATGGCGCTAACTATTTCCCGGAAAGTCCGTTGCTGCTGTTGCCGCTGATGGCGTTGCTGGGGCGCTGGCTGTGGCTGCTCTTGGGGTTGCTCCCGCAATACATGTGATGCTTGCGAGCCCAAGAGACTGGAACCGGTAGACGTGGTGATTGGACTTGGGACTAGCGACGCTTGCGACTGCGCTGGCGGATCACCAGACTGCGGCGGCGGACTCTACAAGGAACGGAAAGATCGCCAACAACTGAATTCAACACAATAAATATAAATAACGTATTTCTCGCCAGCCGAGCGTAGCGAGGTAGATGAGAATTGATTTCCCGCGAAACAATTTGTTGTTGTTGTTGTTGTTGTTGTTGTTGTTGTTGTTGTTGTTGTTTGGCCTTATTTAAAGTGGAGTTCCAAAACAGGCCTAAACCTAATGACAATGGTCCCACTGATAATAAGAGAAAAGAAAAATATATAAAAATAAGCGGACAAACAGAACCGAGAAGAAGATAGTTAGATCACTAATATGAGCACGGCAGCAGGGGACAAGAAGTCACAAGCACGGCAACTGGGAAGAAAGGAGTGACTGAGTGAGAGAGAGAGAGAGAGAGAGAGAGAGAGAGATAGATAGAGAGAGAGAGAGAGAGAGAGAGAGAGAGAGAGAGAGAGAGAGAGAGAGAGAGAGAGGTAGTGAAGCAGATGAGTTCATCCTAGTTGACGGTACTAATTTCAGTTGCAAATATGGCATCTGGTGTGTTCTTTATTGTCGTTTCTTTTCCTGATTTCTTCAGTCAGTTTTGAGTCTCACCAGTGTCCCTGCCTTCCCACCCTTCATTTCTGTGCATCTCATTATTGTTTTTCATCGCTTTTTGCCGTGATGTGCTTGCTATGCCTACATGATGCCTAATTGCCATTGGGGATATACACCCGATTTTTTCCCTCACTACTGCGTCCGTCGGCGCTTGCACGCCTATTCTATCTGAGACACTCTGTTCTCAGTCCTTGCTTTCATGCCTCACTTGTTATCCGGTTCGCATCTGGCTGCGGCCAACTACCCTTCGCTTTGTGTATTGTCGTTACTGCTGTCTATGTCCCCATGTGTGCCAGTATATGTGAAGCGAGAAGGTATTGTTCTCGCAGCTTGTTATCAGATGTGAACTTAGTGTTATTTTCTACTGTATCACCCAATGCTTTGTGTTTGCACTCAGTATATTGTTTAGCACCATGTCTGACTGCTATTATGCAATAAAATTCTTTATAATAAGCTGAGACTCTCCCTTCCTCCTGTACTCCCAATCGAACTCTCCACTTCCACCGAAACTGGGTGACTGCGCTCTACTAGATGGGAATTTGTATGCACAATGTCACTAAAAGCGCCGTTTCGCTCATATAAAAGCTCGGATGCCCGCGATTGGCCCATATGTTGTAGTCTTTTGGATGCTGAGTCGACTGGTCTTGGTCCGGAATGGCTGCGATGCAGCGTTCGGCTCTTATTCCCAATTGAACGCGGGTGAATAAACGGTCATGTTCTCATGCATACACCAGTCACCTGGTAACCGTGCCAACAGGCTACAACTAAGCCTGTTTGGGCGCTTTCCTGTCGCTCGAGTTGAACATTTGAAACTTTGAGTTGAATTTTGGTGTGAAAATCGTAGCCTGCAGGCACGTTGACCAGGCGACTGGTGTACGAACGAGTACGTGACCGCTTACTCAGCCATGTTCGATTGGGAATACTGAGGGCTGAACGCAGCATCGCAGCCTTTCCAGACCAAAACCATTCGACTCCGCATCCAAAAGACTACAACATATGGGCCAATCGCGGTCATCTGTGCTTTTGTAAGAGCAAAGTGGCACTTTTAGTGACATTGTGCATAAATATTCTCTCAGGTACAAGATGGCCATTTTGCATGCAAATCCCCATCTAGTAGAGTGTAGTCACCCAGTTTCAGTGGAAGTGGTGAGTTTGATTGGGAATAAAGAAGGAAGAGAGCGTCTCAGCTTCCTTGGACCAAGACAATGCGACTCAGCACCCTGAAGACTATAAAATTAATAGAGAGAATTTGATTTAACACAAGCATCTGCATGCTGCACTCACACAACGAGCAACCAGTTTTGGGAATAGGAGGGTTTGTCAATTGCTTTGCCAGGCTCCGGGTGAGTGATAACTTAAAGCTGTGCGAATGTGTGTGTATGGCAGCTGGGCAGGGCCCTGCTACGGAGGCTGAGTGAGCCGTATGGAGGCAGCCGGGCAGGGCCCGGCTGCGGAGACTGAGTGAGCCGTATTGAGAGGCTGGGTGAGCCAAGGCTGAGTGAGCCATCTGAGTGTGGGAGGCTGAATGAGCCATATGAGGAGCCTGGTAAGCAAGGTTGACTTCCCTCCGTGTATTTACAGAGTTTCGCCGGTAGACGGCATCGGTGTAGTTATTGTAGACCGGTATGATAATGGATACGGACAGGAGAGAACTAGAACAGGAAACAGGATGATGACAATAGTGGAGTGGGTGGGTGGGTTGAGAAAGAAATCCACTGCCAATGCGGACACAGCAAGAACTGAAATCAGGAACAGTGAACTTCGAAGGACAATGAGCGCGTGAGAGTTTGTTGGGAACAGAGCATGCGCCTTCTGTGTTACCCCTTTGGTGCCCGACTGAATTTTAGATTTTTCGTAGTTTTGGCTCAATGTTTTGGAAAGCCTATATCTCCGCAACCGTTTAGATGATGTAGAGACAAAAATATGTATTCTGAATGGCAAGACACAACAAAATCTGATTTTTGAATTTTCAAGTCAGAAAAATCTACACTTAGGGTCAGGGTACTGAGCTGGTCCAAGAACATCTTGGTCGCCAACACCACTCAGCACGCCGAATCCACTACCTCGTCCACGACCTCCGCCACGCGCGCCATGGCGCCACGCACGCCACGATCAGCTGTTCCATCAGCTGGCTCAGCTTGACCAGCGCCGCGAGAAATTCTTCCGCGCAGCATGAGCGGAGCACGTCCACGAACTGGCTGCGCTCGCCCTCGCCCTACAGCTTCTTGAAGCTCATCATTGGAAAATGTGTCCTCATCTGAAGAGCTGCCGTTCTCAATAAATTCACAGAAAACCAAATCATCGTTGAGTCGGTCTTCCTCATCTGATGACAGCAGGTTTCCGTCAGAGAAAAGAGCGTCAGATTATTCACCATCGTCGTCTTCTGATTCCTCTTCTACAGGGGCATCATCGGCCTCCAGCTCTTCAAACAACTCAAGCGCTCCCGCAGCATCCATGACGGAGGTCAACTGTAGTAGCCATGAACTGTGCTAATCGAAAAGTCAGAAAACGAAGCGAAACAGCAACGTTTTGTTCGTGTCGCGCAACGCGTGCGCAGGCTGCCATGCTCGATTGACTTCCGCTGATCTACGCGATCACGTTGATCACGACTCGACCTTTTCAAATGCAACCCCCTACTTTCTCTGTTGCAGCACTGAAGGGTTTCTGTACAAAAAATCAGGCACCTGCGATGTACGTGAGCAGCTCTGTGCTCGATTTTAGTATGCACTGTCAGCATAGGTCGAAATCGACCTACCGGCACCTAAGGGTTAACATATTTTTCGTGCGTGCCCAAAAATCATTTTAGGGTATACTTTCCCTTTAAATCCAATGTTGTCCGGCCATCTCTGCGTCAATTACATTCTTTATTGCACTTATAAAATTTCTTTCTTCACGCTGACTCTTCAATGCCCACGTTGGCAAACATTTTGAATAATGGACGCGGATGGCGAGCCAAGGATTAATTCATAGAAAGGAAAAAGGAAGTACAATTTACGCTATAATGTCCACTAACAATGTTATCGCATGAGCTGATTGTTAAGTAACGGGTAAAAATAGAAGGAGAAAGGGTGGGGGTTGACGTACAACCAGGTTTCGACTTATAACCGGGAACTATCAGTATCTTACAAAAAATGACCTGCACTGCATGCACGAGTGTACCATGTGTACACATTTGTGCCTGTTTACTTGCCTTTTTCAAGGATTGGGAAGTTATACCCTCCAGTAAAGAATGTTTACATGATTTGTTGATGTGTTACTAGCAGGGAGTGCTTTGTAGTGCTTCGATGGGTGAAAACTTTAAAAAGCAGAATTGAGATCTCCAGATACGGGGGTCGACCTATAACCGGGGTCGACTTACAACCGGTAAAATTCGGTACTTCCTTGGTCCTTTTTATTTTTCTACAAATTTTGCAATAACTATATACAGGACAGAACAAGGACAATCAAGGCTTGTTTGCTGCGACTTCAAGTTTCATGCTATCCGAGGTTGACGCACCTTGGGGTGTCCATTGTTAGGGTAGCACAGCTAAGGTAAGAGTGCTCTACCACGGAAAGTGGGAGCTAATACACCGGAGGGTGTACCCAGTGTGCTGACAGTGCAACACCGCGGGGCAATAACTATAATTATACATAACTTCCCAGCAACATGCCACAAGGAGAAGGAAGTAAAAAGAACCCTGATGCACATACCCAAACCCATATCTAGGACAAACACCTAGAAACTGTATACATTCAGTTTACCTGTGATGCTACTCCACTTTCTGCTGTAGCGCTGTTGTTGTTAAGGCCCAGCGGAATATCGCCAAAACCCAGAATGCTGGAAGCCTGTAAAAAGCAATGGAAAACCCGGATTATATAGTCATTATGGATCACAGGTTAATTTTTAAACATTTCGTCGCCCGTACACATTTCAGATGTGCGTTTCACAGTCACACTTTGACTCGCATTCACTCACCGATGATTGCGATTGCTTGCGATCCACGTCACTGTCTGCTCTCTGGTACACGTTGGCAGCCCGTACTTCACGTTTCAACGCCTCCCACATTTCATCAGCCTCCTGGTATTCGTCCAGCGGGTAGTCTTGTTCCGTGTTGAGAAGAAATTCTAAATCTACTGCATTCAGTGAATCCTGCATCACGTGACCAAACAACAAATGAGGCAGAGTACAGCAAGGATATGACAATAAAGTACAGAGTACAGAGTACAGGGAGTACAGAGTACAGAGTACAGGGAGTACAGAGTACAGAGTACCAGAGAGTATGGCAAGGGTACAGGCAAACCACGTATAGGATATTACCCAAGTACGAGGGTGTTACCTCCCGAATATCATCCCGACTGCGTAGCAGGAGGGATGATATGAGGGTACGGTAACACCCGAGTACGCGGGTTAATATCCTACTTATCCCAGGTACATCTACGCATTTTGGGGATCGACGCAACTGCGTTCTGAATACAATTACCAAGGTACAGCTATACCAAAAACAAAATGCTGCCTTTCTTTTCAATCCAGTCAAGGTTTGAGAGCGATGGAGCTCGGGAGACAAGTTGCATTTTAGTAGTTGGACGAGAGAATTGACGAAGATTGCACTGTTATGATACATAGTCATTTGGTTCGAAGTAAGGGCCATACTTCAAGTCACGGCGAGATACAACGTCATTATGGATGCTGGTGCTGACTTCCTTGTCATTGGATCGGCGTGGAACTAATTACTTTCAACGGTTTGGGATCCTTGCTGAACACTGTCCGTGCAGGCAGTAACCACATTGTACATATCGTCGGACATTGGCACCAGTGAGTAAAGTGCATTTCGTTGTATCAAGACTCTTGGTTGTGTCACTATCGGCCACTATGCAATCAGAAGACCGTTGATCTTGTTATAATTATTATAGGCATAGATGTACTGGATTTGTAGCAGCATCTACGTTTTAGATTGTTCTTGTGGTAAATTACTAATCGTACTGGATACAATATCATGATAATCACTGCGGGTCGCATCTTGCATCCATATCTTATCGACATCACACATGGATTGCTGCGCTCTTCTTCTTTCACACTGTTGAATATTCTGTACAAGATTTTTCCTCTCACTTTCACGTCGTGTACTTTTCGTGTTGTTTCGGTATCTCTCCTTGCAATTAGTAATTTTCACTCGGATGGTGATACTTTGTGTAGTTTTCGAGTTCACAAAGAGTGAATGAGAACTGATGCACCTCGAAGTCTCCTTTGTGCCGTAGTGTTGAGTTGAATAGTGATTGGAGTTCGTTGTTTGTTTGTGTGGAATCTGGTTTTGGACGTAGTCGCGGAGGTAAGTTCTCTCCGTTCACTTTTACTGTACCGACGGTGCACTCTGCATTGGCATGCTCCCACCCTCTCACAGTTCTGTGTAGTGCATTTTGTCGCTGGGTTCTGATCGAAAGGACTCCAGTGGCAAGATGCATTGCATCGAATCGAGAGGGGGTGGGGGCATGCCAATGCAGGGTGCACCGTAGTAGGTACGGTAAAAGTGAACCAAGTTAATAATGAATATCATCCCTCGCGGGATTGTATTGGCTATTATTTCCCGGTCAGCAAGGCTCCTGATTGGCTGAAACAGGCCTATAGTACCGTACCATGGGATAACGTGTATTTTTTTAATTATTATTATTATTATTATTTATTCATATTTTACTAGGGCAGTCCCCACAGACCTATGGTCTTCTTACAGGGTGCCCTAGCCACGTGAAGATAGCGGAGCGAAATGCAGCAGGTAGGGATATGGTGCGAATCGCGTATCACTGTATATTGACTAGAACAGCAGCACCATCAGGACTGATAGAATGACCTGTACACATTTCAGATGTACGTTGCATGGTCGCACTTTGACATGCATTCACTCACCGATGCTTGCGATGGCAGGCCTGTATCTGCTGTCGCCGATAGATCAGCTGCTCTCATCTGAGCCACTGCGGTCAACACAAGAGAAGCACCACCAGTACTTGTACTTGGTAATGTAATTTCACAATTTGCAGACAGTCAGCTTGTGCACACCAGCATGCCAGCAGCATTCCTACGTCCAAATTCACGTTGTCAAAATCATATTCCACCACAACCCTGGACAACAGCAGCATACATCAAACTGCCTTACTTCCTGTGCTGCCCGGATCAGACTGTGCTGTGTCGCCGGAGTAGAGAGTGCCAGTGGCACCCATTTCCGGTAGCATGTCGTCACCAAACATCTGAACAGAAGACCAGCAGTAAAACACACCCAGTTAGTGAGACCAAGCTGTGTAAATGTGTCAAGGTCTCGCAAAGGTGAGAAAGACAGAACGGAGAAGACAACTGATTCAATATATTGATCCCGGACGAGAAGCGATTGCCTCCATGGAAGCGAGTTCCCCAACGCTGTACAAGCCTGTATATACATGTTTATACTGTAGTTCCGCACTTGAATTGAATGAGTGCTCGAAATCAAAATGGGTACACTTTTGCAAACGGTACCTGCAATTATCACGCCACATTCACATTATACAAGGACCTTCCTTGATATTCCAACACTAACTGTCTTATACAGGGTCTGATCCAGAGATCTCTGCAGGGGGTTGCAGTTTATCTAAAGCTGAATAGCTGATACATGTATAGTACATGCATATGGATTCCAGTAGGAGATTTGTAAATTTAGGGGGTTCCGCTGAACCCCCGGAACCCCCTGGACCCGTCCCTGTTATAGCCTTCAGCACTTTACCTGGGTGAGTTGCTCCTTTTTCTTTTTCTCATGAGCTGCTTTGTGTTGCGCTCTTTCCTTCAGTGGCTTTGAAAACGTTTGCTTGTCGATGTCTGCTCTCTGGTTCACTTTGGCAGCCTGTATCTGCGGCTCTTTACGTTCCAGGTCGTTTAATAATTCAGTCACTTCTTCGCTATCCAGCCAGTCTTGATCCATAATTTCAAAACCTGCTGCATTCAGTGAAGCCTGCATCACGTGACCAAACAACAAGTGAGGCAGAGTCCAGCAAGGGTGATGACAATAAAGTACAGAGTACAGAGTACAGAGAGTATGGTAAGGGTAAAGGTGAACCAACGTGTATCACTGGACTGGGTTCGACTTATTAAAATATGCGCTTCACTTCAAAACGTTTAAAAGCATTCATACAAATGAGCACCAGTACAGTTTAAATCAACCAAGAGACGGTAGATAGACTGTATCGTTTCTTGGCCTGACCGTCTAGTTTTCATCGCTGCTGGTGTCTCCGGGCGCATCTGCAAATGTGTCTCCCTGCAAAACGTCGACATTTTTCTCATCTCCTCCAAGCTATGCTGCTCTTGCTTGATTTTTTCACTCCATAGGCACGATTTAGACGATCGCTTTCACCTCTTCCTCGTCCTTCATGCAGTCAGACGCGCGGCCATTTCTTCACCTGAATACAGAGGTTCTCAGCCCCAGACCGAACTCATGAAGGTCAGGCATGTCTGCATCCTCACTCTCACAAGGAGTTACGTCTTCGGGGTGGCTTGCACCACCTACTATTGGTCGCCAAATCATTTGAAATAGCACTGACACTATTGCTTCCACGCACTCCTTTTGACCTAGCTGCATGCTATGACGTTGCGGAGGGTGTGGCGCGGCCGCATGACGTCATGGCAAAGCCCCGGAAACTCACTTTTTCAAACTGAAATATCTCGAGAACGCTTTGTCGGAGAAGCGTGGGACCAACACCATTCAACTCAGCGCCCGAAACTCTACCGACCCTGAAATTTAAATTTTTCACCGGACTTCCCCTCTAAGTAAAACTTCGTTGCGTTTGTAGTGTTCTTGTCATCATAATTCTTTCAGCACTAGATATACATGTCAGTGATGTATCCCCTACAAAGGGTAGCCGAGGTGTCGGCCATTGTTCTGACAGGCCTTTGAACCTCTGAAAAGCATTGAGTCCTTCGAAAAAATCGGCGAAGCAGGACCGTTTGTCGACAGGATGTCACCAGAACACAACCCCAGGCGCGCGCACATGACACCAAAGTGCGAAACTGAGAAACAGTTTGAAGGACCGCGTGGCTCGAAGAAGTGATCAGAAGCCGGCCAGCGCTCAGCCACCGCTGTACCAGCACGAGTCGACAGTGCGTATCCGCACACAGCCAAAATCAATGCACTTGTGTTTGCAGTGCAGGGGGAATCAAAAGTGTTAGACATTCAGGTTGCCGGTCCGCCGGCGCAATGTCCTGATCTCAACGTCGACGACTTGCCATTCTTCCACAGCCTGTAGTCTGTGGACAGACGTGTCACTCGTGACGAAGTAAACCAAAAAGGAACTTCTTCAGGCTGTGGAAACGTGCTGGCACGAGCACACCGCTGCGAAGTTGAGGAGCATTTGGTTTGGCCTCCTTGGGTCCAATTTTTGAATTTTTGAATTTTTTCTATGCTGTGACGTAGCACTTTCAAGCCCTATTCAAACCCAGCACCCCTGTCTTTCCGGGACAGGGGTGCCACCGTGGAGGTCGTCAGGCTCACAGTTCGAGTGAAGAACTTGGCAATCTCCACGATCGAATCGAGTCTTGGCAACTTGTAAAGGCTGCAGAACAAAAGCTGGCAGCGCTGGAGGCGAAAGTCAGTGAGGATGCAGATTCGATGTCATTGAGAGAGCGAGCCGTCATCAGATTCAGACCAAGAGTGAAGCTGGATTGTGTTGAAACGAGCTATGTGACATCTGTAAATAAATATTATATCATATGCTGCTTTGTTATCCACTTTTGCAAAGCATGTTTGTAGCCGTAGGATGATTCGGACTGAACTGTAAAAATGCAACAAAGTTTTGCTTAACGGAGGAAGTAAAAACCCAGCGTGTATCACTGTATACTTCGCTGAAAACATGAAGAGCACAGCAAATTCATGTCGGGGCAACCTGTGGGAGCAAACACGAAGAGTCCGTATGAGGCGTAATCTGTGCATTTCCCTGGGAAAAAAAACATGAAGAGCCCCGCGAATCCATTTCGGGCGCATTCTGAAAATTCCAAGAATGCGCAAGCATTCCTGCGCAAACTGCAGATTGCTTCCGCATTGTGGGAAATCTCAGATTGCGCAAATTCTCTGCAAGCTGCAGCAAGCTGTTTCGGCCATAAAGGCCTCAAAGGAGGCACCACAGACATTAAGATAGCTCGTCGCTCTAGCGCCAGAGTGCTCTACCCACGAAAGGTACCAGGCAATGCGTATGGCAGCAGCACTACGGCAGCCTGTGTGTGTGTGTGTGTGTGTGTGTGTGTGAAATTTTCACGGAGAGGAAGCAGATTTGTTAGCTCCTGGTTTTCTCTTTGTTGGCCTCCACGGGGCGGCCTTGGCCTTCTGGTCAGGGTCGTCCCTGGGTATTGAGTGGCAGTAGGCTTTTCATGCCGTGCAGCCGGTTTCGCTCGCGCGGAAGGACATTCAGTGAGCTGACGACCAGGGCGGGTAATTATTTGTTGCCGTCACCGTCTTCTTGCGTCCTTTCCGCATCCTCCGCAGTGGCGTGGCGAGCCCTCGGATCGATCCCCAGCCTGAAACAATGCAGTGGCGTTCGGCAAAGCACGTGGATTCCTGGATGAGAAAGGAAACAGGTCACACTCGCAGCAATTTATTCCTGCGCGGTGTATCGCTGGAATTGTGGATTTGTCGTGTTGTTTGGACCTGAGTGGCCAGTTGTCGTGCGGCGATGGTGTAGTGATGTTAGCTTGCCGTGCACACTCCTCGTCGTTTCGTGAAAGTTCGTCTTGTGGAGCCCTTGTGGGACGTTCGGTGCCCACCCTCCAGTTCAAGATTGTGCTTTCCTGGTTTATGAAGGCCGAAGCAGTACGCGTACAGACGTTGAACAGAACATCATGTTCCTTTTTCAGTCGTTGCATGTTATACTTATAGTGGACCTACAGCAGACTGTTCATCTGGTTTGTGATATTTCTTTCCTCTGTTTGTGCGTCCTTTTCCATCAATATGGCAGCTTGTTTCGATTTTCTTTTTTTTCAATTCATTTTGCTGTACTTCCTGTTTTGTTTTGCGCCACTGCCCCTCACCTTGCGCTCAGTTCTCTGAGTGGAGGGCGGCGTGACCCCACGGGGTAGCTGATTGATAGTAGTAGTAGTAGTAGTGTGTGTGTGTGTGTGTGTGTGTGTGTGTGTGTAAATGTGTGTCTGTGTGTCTGTGTGTGTGTGTATCTGTGTGTGTCTGTCTGTCTGTATCTGTTTACTCACACTATTCTGTTGTCCAGAGATTGCCTTCACCGAAGATCCAGAGTAAGATGTGCGACCTTGCTGCACAGGTCTGCTGCCAGGGCGAGCGAACGGTGATCTCATATCAGAGTATACTGCTGCGCCACTCGGTCCACTGAGGGAGGATGCTGTTGGCGTGTTACCATATTGTGACTGGTGTAGACTGCTGCCAGTCTTTGCTGGCGGTAGAGGAGGTTGTTGCGGCTGCTGCTGTTGTTGCAGCATCCCTGCCTTCCAGGAACCAGTGAACCCATCGGTCTGCTTCAAGGAGATCACATCATAAAGAACATAGCAAAGAAATTAAAGAACACATTGCCATCCCTCGTCAATGACATGGCGAAAGAGCACAGTGATTCAGAGACCCGAAAAGGGAAAAGATTTTCACTTGCACAAGAGTACTGCTACTGTAGCCCAGTATTCCAAACACACAAGCATGCCTAGCCAAATTCTGCATTGGCACACATCTACAATTTCTGCTGAATCCAACCTGCACAAGCCTGCATATGGAATCAATGCAAGATTGTTTATATGCACATATGCACATTTATCACTCTTCTATATCGACCTCCAACATATATTGACCTTTGATAACTACCCACACTCATTAGTGATCACACCATCAACAGTATCAAATTCAAATATATTTTCTTTGACTCATAGCAGACTCAGCGGAGGACGTTCAGGTTGGTTGCAACCAACCTGAACGTCCTCCGCTGAGGATTTATTTTTTCTTTAACTCAATAAATACCACCGCACTTTTCCATGTAGCACTGCACAAGGAGTATTTTATAAACAGTATTTATTCGCCTTTAATAGTCGTTTCTCAAAAATGCGAAGACTCCACTGTAGTCATCCACTATATCCATACATCTTCACAACACTCTCCAAACAGCCTCTGGGCTACTGCAGACAAAACAGAGATTATATAAGTAACAAATACAAACATTTTGGCCAAAACAAATGTTTGTATATTTGGTCACGTATATATACTAGTAATCTCTGTATGGTCTGCAGTAACTACTTTCCTGCAGATGGGCCTTGCCCAAAAAATCAAATAATTTTAATATCTCTTTTTCTTTTAGTGATTGGTGTAGCCCAGAGACCGTTTGGAGAGTGTTGTGAAGATGTTTAATAGTGGCATTTCATAAACAGTATTTATTGGCTTTGAAATGCTCTGCCCTTTGAAATGAAGTCTTGTAATAGGTCTTCTGCATTTAACGTCCATCTTGCCTGCCTTCTTAATGACGGGCCAGAATGTTCCCGGTTAAAACAGCTCCTTTTTGAAAATGTTTTCAATGGATGATGTGTCGCTTTGTTTTGCTTTAATCGGTGCTTTTCTCCGATGTCATGCAGTCGCTTTTATTTCTTGTGTACTTGCATACTGGTAGTAGTTTAGTCCCACAATCTGCGATAAAATGATCAGCTGTAGCACCTACTCCACTTTTATGTTTACGTATCTATGCCATTCGGATCTTGCCAAGTTGTACATTGTACTGAAGTACTATTGAGATACCGAATTCAAATAAATCAATACCAAAAATATGAGGTCTATCTCGATGTCTAGGAAACGACTTATCAGCGATATTCCCACCAAGGGCCTTAGCACAGTTTAAAGCCAGCTCAGTCGTAATTTTACTACTCTTGAAGACGCGTCGAGGGCCTTGGATTAGTTTACTGCCCGCTGAATATGCTCTTAACATGTGAGTACAAATTCCTGTATGCATTATAGTACGGCGCAGATAATGAATTCTGCATGAAATGTACGGTGTACTACAAAAAGCCACGCACTTCAGAAATGTGTACGGGTTTTGCCTCCCGTACTTTTTCATCTGTACGACTTTACTTTGTCTAGAGAATGAAGCTCGCAGTAACAGCCCAGCATTTCATTTGCCTCTATACTCCTTTTAGTAGTCCTCAGATGGTACTGAGTCACTAGAAGAAAATAATCATACCACACCAATTCTCTCTGCACACAAAACACAAAACTACCCAACAATTACAAGCATAAACAAGCACAATGCAAGTGGGATAATACACGTACAGTGAACTTTGCTTATAGCGACACTCGGCGGGGCATCAGAAAAGTGTCCTTACTCGCGAATTGTCGTTATGCCCAAAGTCCCATTATATGTATCACAGTTGGATGGGACTTTGCTCTGGGCATGGAAATTTCTGTCGTTATTCGCGAATTGTCGTTATATCCGCAGTCGTTATTAGCGAAGTTGACTGTATCCTCGTTCTAAAATAGTTGGTGCATGGCAAGGTGGGCCTTGTGGCTTGTTTGTGCCATTCAGGTTACCCCTCGGGCCTACAGGCCTAAGGCTAACCTGTCGGGCACTAACAAACCCTAAGGCCCTCCCTGCAATGCACTAACCTATATTAATAATAGCATGGCTAGTTGTACTAAAGTCAAAACTGTTTTCAACCCGAATGTTGTACATTTCGCTGCGCTTGTGGCTCTTCGCCGACCCTGAGATGAAGAGTCTCGTGCTCTACATAACTGCATTACGACGAGCGAAACTCAAAATCAAACCGAGAAAGTGCCATCTCTTGCTTGCAGGTTCCATTGATAGTTGCACAGTTTTGCGGGGCTCCCGACTGGTGTTAACTGTTAACCCTCCTGGCCTACTAGTCATGTGTTCAACAGTTGTGGCCCCGTACACTTTGTGTTTTGTTGTCGCCTTTTTAGGTTGCTTCACATTTAAATTCCCAAATCTTTCTCAGCAGTCTTCTTCCGTTTTTTATATAACTTCAATTTTGCTTGCTTCCATCAACAGGAGTGGATGTCTTTTTTTCGGTGGGGGATAGTGTTGTACATGAGGCTGTGCTTGTAGCTCTTTGTTGTACACGTGGCTGCGCGTGTAGCTCTTTGTTGTACATGCTGCTGCGTTTGCGTCTCTTTGTCGTACATGCTGCTGAACCGTGGTACACGCTGCTGCGCTGTCTTCGAATGATCTGTACATGCGGCTGCACCGTCTTCTGCCCCCTCCGCATGCACTCTTTCTCGTCTTGTCCCCGTTGTATACGCATTTGCTTGTCTTGTCTCCGTTGTATTCGTCCGGTTTCCGTCTTGTCTCCGTCGTCTTTGATCGTCTGCCGTCTTTGTCTCCCTTTTCAGTTCAGGACTGGTTGTATTACGCACAGGCACCATTTTCACTTCCACCGCCCCACTTTTCCTCGCGTCTTCACAATATATTCCTTTGTCTTGTCTCGTCTCAGTGTCAGTTGTCTCGTCGTCTCTTGAACACAAGAAGAGAAAACTCGCTCTATAAACAAAAGTAACTTGGCCTTTTGTTGTGAGGCGCGATCTCATTGAGGAGAATACTTAGTCCCATAAGCTAGACGTATAAGCATCGCCCAAGTTGACGACATGAACAACGGACATGCCTGAAAATTTGTTGAATAATTGTTAGTTTGCGTATGCAGCGAAGAGACAGTATTTTAAAGGGGATGTTTCCGTAATCTCGTGCATATAAGACCATGGTCTTTATTATAATCGAGAGGTCTGCATTTTTGTTTTGATTTCAAGACCATGGTCATATAATTATGCGAGAGACAAACATCGCATCGACACAAACATGTGCAACAGTGAAAGTACGCATATCAATGCCAGTACAATGGAATTGTTCAGGAGGTCGCACGTGTCACTGACATGCACTCTCGTTTTGTGTTACATGTAGCTGTGACTTTCGTTAGGGTTCACACATTTAGGTCACAGGCTTTGTCTTCACCTTCTTTCGCGCCTGCTGATGGAGTTGTTGGCATGCAAGTGTTATAAGCTAGACGTTTTCACTGCAGTAGTGAGTTGGCTAGAGTAGGCTTTAGTGCTTACGAGTTCGGTGAAAGGTTTCAAGCAATTGCGGCTTGGAGCCAGAGTTTTCTAACAGAGTTCTCTTGGTAGTCGCGAGTTGGTCCTTTGTGTGGTTTGGGTGTGTGCCGAGGTAGGAGCACGCCTCTACAGAACATATTGGTAGCAGAGGATGGTTAATTAAGTCGAGTCGACCTCGTAAGTATTGAACGTTCCACCTAAGCGCGGCTATGGAGTCTCCAGTCGAAGAGGACAAGGAGAAAGACAGCCAAGCCGCGGAGGACGGGACCGCCAGCACCGAGGAAGCAAACCATTGAGAAGAACCAGCGGCAGTAGAGAACAAGCGCGAGAAGCTTAGCAAGCTGCTTAGAGAAAAGATGGTGGCTAAAAAACACTTCACCAACGCGCGGCGGACACTTCTCGTGCGCTCCATGAATGGCGGAGTGCGAGGAGAGCAAGCTAACGACGAGCTAGCCGAGCTAAGCTCACATTATGACAACGCCACCAGTGCTATCATGAACCTCGTCAGTCTGTACAGCTCAACCAACGAAGAGAAGCGTATGGAAGTAACGCTGCGGGAAGCGGAATTGCTCGAGGAACAATTCACCACCGCAACCGAGAGCATTTTGGAGGACGTACGTGGGCAGGTACGTAGTTACGCGGAGGAAACTGACTACCTGGGCGTCTCACAGCGGCCCCACCCAGTCCAGGCTCGACGCAAACTAGCTTCGGAGGTCGGGTACGGGTACAGCGGACCTGCCGCAAGCACTATGCCCAGTTGGGCTGGAGCCCGGAGCTACCTGCACGCGCACGGCAGAAGTTCAGTTGAGACCTCGGAGTCTACTGCTGCACGTGGTCTAGCGTACGACTACGGCTACCATGGCTACACGTACGAGCCGACGAGCCGGTCAGCCGGCGTAGAGCAAGCAACAGTTGCAGACCAGCACCGGGGAACGGAGTACGGTCTTGCTGAAGTCAGCGAAAACAAGTACAAGTACAAGGCGGTCAGCGAAAGCGGACCGAAAGTCACCATGGGCACGGATGAGTTGCGACCAGAGACGCCGTTGGTTCACAGAGCGCACACTCCGTCTAAGACCCAGGTCAGCGCGAGCAGAGCGGTAAGCGGCTCGCCTTTGTCCGCGGCTGCGGCGCAGGTTGGAGGGAGCGGCGCGCCAGCTGCTGCCGCTTTAGAGTCTGGCGCCACCGGGCACTTGGACAGCGCGAACAGAGCGACAAGCGGTCCGCCTTTGTCCGCAGCTGTTCCCCAGATGAGCGCGAGCAGCGCACCACATGCGTCAGATCCAGAGTCTGCACCAGTGCCTGCAACGCTATTCAGCGCAACAGGCAGGCCGCCTGGATCCGAGCCTGCAACGCTATTCAGCGCAACCGGCAGGCCGCCTGGATCCGAGCCTGCAACGCTATTTAGCGCAATTGGCAGGCCGCCTGGATCCGG